TGCTTCTCAAATCGCGTAGACAGGGGGGACCACCAACATTCGGTCACCACGGCAACTGTGAACGCAAGTGTCCACAACACATGAAAGGCCACACAGGACTGGTCTGTCACATACAGCTGTGAATTCATTGTGCCCCAAAGGCGTCCAGATGTAGGCAACAAGTGCAAGATTTGAGTCTACTTGTGCACAGAACAAACATTGCCCCACGCATTGCTCGCCTTGCAAGTTCAACAACAAAACATCCTTGGCTGAACACTTTGCACCTTGAGAAAAGAAAGCCGTGCTGGAGACCTGAACCTTCGCCGATGGAGCTTCAAAAACTGACCGCAGCAAAGCAACCATACCTGGAGTCGGATCACTTGCCCCACACAATCCACCCTCGAGAGGGTCCTGTGGATCTCCATGCAATTCCAAAAGTTGACATCGCAAGGCCTCCACTAGAACAGATTGCTCATATGCAGAATGCGTATTTGTCAGCATGTCTGCGAACCGCTTTACTTCTTTGTGTTTGCGCTCTTGTGTGAAGCAGGCATAGAGGCATTTGTGATGCGAAAACTGGCGACCCATGTGAACCGAATAGTGGTGTTTCGGTTTCCAACAATCCACGCCATAACTCTTTTGGAAAGCATCCAAATGTGACAGGATTGCACTTTCGAGGTTGGACGCACGCGTGGTGCCACGCTTGATGCCCTGAAGCAAATCCAAAACTTTACACAAACGCATGTACGAATTTATCGCCAAGCTGGCAGCACCAAGTTGTCCTTGTTGCATGCGTCGATGCACAATGAATCGAATGGGCCCATATAGAGAAAGGGCTTCAGAAGCTGAACACTTGACCTCACTGCTTTGAGCCTTTCGAAAGACAGCTTTACCCGAGACGCCCCTGGAAGCGATGGCACTGGGCCATGTATACTCTTGAAGCTCACAGTACAAATCTTCCTGAGTCATCCCACACCCTTTCAAAGCTTCAATCAAGAGAGCACATTCCGTGTTCCACACCCCCCCTGAGAGGAACGTGTGCATCCAGTCGAACATAAGGGCTGAAACTGCAGGCAGGCCAAGCTCCGTGCACAACAGAACACCGTTTTCAACATAGTTGAAACCACTGTACTGTTGCATATGTTTCCAAGCAGTCTTCGAGACGTTTCCCTTTTGCTCACCCAAGTACTTGAGAACATCACGAACCGATTCATCCGAAGCAAATTCAATCTTGGTAAAATCCAGGCAACACGATGTAACTAGACGATTCTCGGCGTCATAGTCAGCAATTCCCGATTTATGGTCCACCAAATTTCTGCACAGGGGGCAGAGGAAGCTCCCTGCGGCCCCCTTCATGGAGTAAAGATCTTTCAATGCTAATTCATCTCCCAAAATTATTGAGATTTTGGCAAACAATACTCGTCTGTCAGTCTGGCCGAAAAAGCGGAGCGTAATACCGTCTCGAATGTCGAATGGCTGGTAAAAATTGAGCAATGCATATTTCTGATACTCAGACATGCCACCGGCCAATCTCTTCACATGAACGCTTCGCGCAAAACCCAGTGGAAACCAGTGTCTCTCCAGCGAAAGAGCTTGGGGCCCATGTTGACGGAGTGCCCAATATCCGACAACAATTTTTCTTTGGTTGTCATTGGCCAATGGATTCCCTGCCTGTACTTCGTCAGTGTAATATATGATGTCCAATGAGGAACCATGAGAACACTCATGCTCACGCAAAACAATGTGCAGCAACTTCGAATACTCTTCACAGGATTCTGCAATATGATACAGCAAGGCTAGGGGGTTTACGAATGGCAGATCGACCTGCTTGGGCAAAGTTTTATCTTTTCCAGGCTCCAAAGTCACTCTCTGCTTTACAATCAAGGACCCATATGGGGTCGAGATGTTGACCTCCTTGTCCCTTGCTCTTTTGATGGTGCGTCTCGAAATGGAGGTAGGCAATCCTGTCTTTGAAATTTCTTTGAGAACATGTTCCAAGGCTGACTGGGACAGGAAATGGTGGAGACCCAGTGATCCAAGCGAAGTCATCTTTGTCCACTACACATGGCCGCACAACGCTGCAATGCTTAAAGCGGGCTTTCCAGCCCAGCCAGCGAGTCTTTTCTCAAGACCCAGCTAAGAAAACCATTGCGGAATGTGCCGTGGACTTCTCAAACCAACCATTGCGGAATGCGCCGTGGACTTCTCAAACCTCGTGTTGATAAAGCCTGAAGCAATGTGCTAAACAACTAAAACCAGTCTACAATGAATGAAACCAATACTGCAAAACATCCTGAGACTGGCATCCCTCGCCTCCTAAATTTCTCACAGCATGTTGATGCAAAATCATGTGGATAGAATAAAATTTCTATTACTACTACAGTTACTACATTCTTCATGTTTGTGTGTGTGCTTCAAAGTCTTGAACCTGCGGGAATCAAGAAACATAGGCACGACTGACAAAATCAGGAAGAAACGCATCTCTTACAAAGTTTTAAAAACACAAACGTTCCACCAATCCTTTTTATTAAGGTTCAGCCACACTCTTCACACACTAGCCTCCTCAACTGAGCCATTCAGTACAGTCATGATTCGTGATCACGTCGCAGCCAAGCAAATTGGTGGATGTTTTTGCACTCCAGCCCGGATGTCTGGTAACTTGTATACGCTTAGTATACAGCTACGCCATAGACATTGCAGGCCTGCTGGCCCAAAGCACACAGAAAATCTCAACGGTTCCCACGCATGTCGTCAAGGGTGATTAAAAAAGCACAATCAACCTGCAACGTCTCCCCTTACCCCTTAACAAAATCAATGTAGCTCACGCTCCAGCTTCAATGAGACGCAAAGCCTTCTGAAAGCTGGCAGCTTCATCACCGTGAAACGGAACCTTCTTGTCGCACCTATCACTTTTATGTACAAAGACCCGCCAGCACAAACCTTTGTCCGAACGGTGCACCTTGCCATTTTTGTGAAAGTATGTCCCGCTGCCAGGCTGTGGAACCTTGAGGTGAGCCTTTTTGACTGGAGATGCTCCTGTTTGCTTCTTATTGGATGCTTGTGCTTTGCCCTTTGGAGATGGCTTTGCTTTCCCCTTGGGTGTCGGAGCTGCCTTTGCTTTCCCTTTTGCTGCTGCCTTAGCCTTTGCTTTGCCTTGTGGTTTGACCTTTGCACCTGGTGAAGTCTCCTTTGCATTCTCCCTAGCCTTGAATGCATTGCTCACATTGGCCATGTGTTCCTCAGGTGTCTTCACGTTATTGCCGGGACTCTCCAAGACTGGCAGATCGAAGAGTTCTGATTGTTTGCACTGCTCCTTGCTGGTTTCAGGTGCATCCTTGGTGTCCATCTGTGCTGGTGAATCGTGCTTGTCTTCCAAGGCCAGTGGCTTCCTGGCCGTTTGTGGTTCCTGAGCGGTGTTTGCCAAGGCTTTGTTTTTCCTACTGTTTTGAAACACTTGCAGGCCAGATAGCCCCACATCAGCCCCTGTCATAGATTGTCCTTGTAGAACTTTGTTAAGCATCACAGCTGCAGCCATGACCTGGTCTGCGGAGAGACCGAATCCCGTCGCTGCTACTTGATTTGGTTCATTACGCACTGACTTGTGCGTTTTCCTGCATCCAAAGTCCAAACTGCCAACCCCCTTGTCATGGTGAGCCCGGCATGGCTCTTCGTCAGAATAAGCAGACCTGATGCAGGCTATTTGTTTGAGTTCATCTCGACAAATCGGGACTTGACATGAACTCGTACAAAAAGGAAGAACTCGTACAAAAAGGATAACACGTATATATATATATATGCAATGTATATATTATGACAAAGACTATGTAAACATGCCACACCGCATCGAAGTTCCGGTTTCCAAGAAACCATCAAATCAACTGCAACTTCACAAGTGGAGAGAGCACGCCTCCAAATGGATTCGGGTAGGTCGCGGGGATCTTCTGGATAATTCGCAAGGTGGTCCTCATTGGTCATTTCCCCGGTGCCCCTCAAAGGTTTCACCTTGGCCCTCAACTTCGCCTTCAAGTCCTGCACCGCATTGAACTTGTCCTTGGCACTTGTAGCTTCAAGACCGCAATCGACCATAGTTGCCACAATGTGCTTGACTGTTGGCTCCTTTGGGCAGTGAAGCTTCAGCATGAAGCATCTCTCTGCTATGGTGTCGATCTTGATAGACGAATGCACATCTGCTTTCAAGCAATCCAAATCTGTTTTGGTGAGGTAGGTCGAAAAGCCACTGACAGTTTGACCACAGCGCCTTCCTTGCTTCTTTGTATTTGAACCTACCTTGCAATCGACGCTCAATGCAAGCTTCTCAGCCATCTTTTTTGTTGGGCACTTGTCCAAGGCCCACTGGAGATGGCATCAGAGAGAGATGTGGCATCAGCTAGAGAAATGTCGCCCTTGTCATGTTCGAAGCGACGCGCAAACATGTTGGCTTGGGCATCCATCATCTTGTCAAAGACGTCAGCGCTCACCAAGCGCTTTTGCGAAGACAGAAAAGTGTGCACATGCTGCAAGTCAGCAAGCACCCCTGCCATGTGAGAAGCTGCAAGTCCGCGGGTCAACTACGGCACTGGTCAATCAACAAGCTCACACTGGGAAAGCCTGTACATTCAGCCAATAATCCATATGGCCAGCGAGCATGCATGCCCAGCTCAGTCATGGAGTTGCAATTTGCACTGGAAAGTGATGGTCAATCCAAACAGTTGCCGAAAAAGAAGAAAGCAACACAGAGAAGCTCTACAGCATCCCTAGTCTCAGGCATCAAAACATGTCTTTGAGTCACACTGCAGAATGCTCGCAAAGGGTGTTCGGTCACAAAGACGGGTTCTCCAAAAATGCATGACAAAACAGCATCATCCACCCACAACATGATGAAACTGATGCTCAACACACGTTTTGTATGGCAGATTTGCATAGCTCCATCAGCATGTCTCTAACAAAATTTGCATAGCTCATATAGGCTATGAGAATAACAAAATCTCTACGGGATGTAGAAGACACCGTGGCACTAGGACTCACTTCAATGCCTCGCGCATGGTCTGATTCGAGCAGTTCTTGTAGTTCAATTCAAGGAACCAGAGCCCAGGCGCCTGCTTCATGACTTTGCGCCTTTTGACCTCAAGTTCACCTTGTTCACGTGCGCTGTGCTTCCACACAGTGCTAAAGTCCTTGACTTCGAAAGCGCTCCGAGAGGTGATCATCTTCAGCTTGCAATAACACCCCCACTGGTTGGGATTGATACTCTCGAGCTCGTTCGAGATGGCCTCCCTCAATTCACGCCCCCGCAGCACATCACATTTGGGGATGAACACGTAGCACAACATGTCGCCGCCCATCAGGGTGAGCGCCTCAAACACCAACCCCTCTTCGACATAGGATGCGTTCAAGGTCACTGTCTTGGTGCAAGCCGGCACTTCACGGACCACCATCTTCTCAACGAATCGCTTGCTCTCAAACAAGTGGAGCGGCCCATCTCGATCTACGACGTACCATGGGAAGAAGCCTCCTGTGGTGCACCCTGCTCCCGTCAAGAACAGCCTAGGATTCCTCTCCTTCATGCGCTGCTCTTGATAGCGCGGCAGTCGCCGCCAATCTCCAAGGGTGGTTGTGTCGATCAAGCTCAACATGCGATTGTCCGTCCTCACTTTGATGTACTCGTACGCCACGTCGTAGCGATTCGCCATGATCACAACTTGAAATATCTTGAAATTAAAGGGCTTCAAACACTGGAACGTTTCATGAGCGAGCTTGACAAGCCCAGCTCCAGCGAGCCTCAGCCCAGCATCACCCATGCAATGCTACAAGCATACAATCAGCAAGCAACATGTCCAAAGTACTCACACAAACTCAACAAGCTGATTTCTTGGGGTGTCCGTTTCACACTTGATTGCACTCTCAAAACAATTGAAAACGGTTGCTTTAAAAAGGAAAGGCTTGGAGCTTTTGGTCTGTGTTGGATGCGCACACATGTATGCAGTTTGGTTCTTACATAATGCTCTCACGGACATAGTTTCCGGATAAACATGAACACACTCTCACTCCTCGCATCTTCTATACTTCCAGAGGCATGCATGCTCTGTGCTACCTCTGGAAACAGACACATCCGTGAAATTGCTTGGACGCTACTTGTAGTTGTAATGCCGGCAGTGATCCACTCTCCTACACCCTATCCAACATGTTCAGTGGTTCATAAAAGTGTTTGCTTACTCTTTCTGCATCTTCATTTGGGTCATGCCTTTCTCTTGAGAGGTTCTTCCGGCTGTCACTCTTTCCAAAGTACATGTTTTTATTCCGTTGTATCTCCCTAACCTGAACCTTTCCAGTAGCATTGCTGCTCCCTCCCTCGACACTGAGTCATTTCACTTTTTCCTCTCCAGAAATCGGAGATGTCGCCATCTGTACACGTGTGATCAAGGCCGTGCTCATGCTATTCATTGGGGTGTGAAAGTGTTTGAAACTTCATCCCAGCCCAACCCCCAGGTACACGGAAAGAGCAGAAACGTGTCACAGATTATGTTTTTCTTTGTGCCATACATGTTTGTCTACCTCTAATCGCATTCCCGGAACAATCCCAGCAATGACCATTTCACAACACTGGCATTCCTATGAAAGTGATTGTTTGCATGTTTTTTTATCAATTGATAAATTTCAATATCTATGGATGTTTTGTTTTTATAGATTGATAAAAAAAAGTCTTATCAATTTATATAGATTGATGACTTTGCACAACAACACTATATCAATTGATAAATCTAAATCAAAAGAACCAATTGAAATTTATCTATTGATAAAATTAAAGCAACAGACCTAATTGAAATTTATCAATTGAT